GGGGGTCGGGCACGGGCGCTGGCGAGCGGGCGGGCGGACGGGCGAGCTGGCGGCGGTTGATGCGTTGGAAGGTCTGCTGGCGCCACGCTGGCCTGCAGAAGCCTGGCCTGGCCTGGCGAGTGGTCTGTGAGCGCAGCCGGTCGGCAAGGCGAATTTCCGGGCGGCTCGTCCGCTCGATTTTGCTTCGCTGGCAGGGCAAGCAAGCAAGCAAGCAAAGGCCAGCCCGACGAGATGCGAGGCTGCAGCCGCCGCCCCGCCCCGCTTGGCCCAGCCACGCAAAGGCCTCGGTGCGCTGGCAGGCAACAAGACAAGACGCCCAGGCAGAAGGGCGACGAAGGTTCCAGCTCACCCGACCCAGCCACAGGCCTGGCCTGGCCTGGCCCGCCACAACAGAGCGCCAGGTCAGCCCGCCCGGATGAGGTGCTCGCACGCCGACAGACGTCCGCCCGATCGACCCAAAGCCGATCCATCGGTGCAGATGCTGCGTCCTCGGTGCCACGCCGCCCGTCCGCTCGCCCCCCGGTCTCGATTGGCCGTGGCGCGCCTCTCTCGTCTGATCAAATGAGACGATCCCAACTCCATCAAGATGAAGTCATCCATGATGGCCGACAGGGGCGAAGACGTTCTCCGCGCGGCCAGCTGGCCAGATGATGAAGGCCAAGCGCACAGAGGAGGAAGCGATGCGCGTCTCTGGCTGGGCCGCAGTCAAAATCGAGGCTGATAATGCGGGCAAAAATTGCCACCCAAGCCGCCATCTTGCTCGCAGCCCAAGCACGATCATGACAGGCGGACATCGACAACATTTGTCAAAGCCCCTAAGCAGCCGCAGACGGAGGCCCAGACGGCGTAGCATTATGCGTTGAACGGGGCGGGCTGGCTCTGAGGGGCGCAGTGCGCGCACATGGGCCTTTCAAACAGATGCAGCGGAAGGCGGTACAAATACAGTGAGTGGGTGGATGCGGTACCAGCGACAGCGACGAGGCTGAGGCGGAGGATGAAGTGGCGCTGGCGGTACTCCCGTCTGTGCTGCTGCCACGGCGGCGACCAGCTCTATACGAGCGCACGAACCCGTTTTGCCCCGGCTCCAGCGCCGGCACGTCGTTTCTTGAACATGCCGCCGCCGCTGCTCTCCGGCGGCGGCGGCGTCGACTCTGCCTTCGGCTCGATGGAAGATGCCGGCGTGGCCTCTGCTCCTTCTTCGCGCTTGACGGCGGTGGCAGGCAGGGATGCGGAGGCTGCTCCTTGCTCTACGGCCGGTGCCGTCGAGTCAGCGTCGGGATCCGGCTTGACGGCCGGCGCCGACGACGTGGCGGCGACGTCTACTTCTTCGGTGGTCCCCTCAGCCTTGATGGTGGGCTCGATCGACGCCTCTGTCTTGGTCGAGGGCTCAGCCGACTTTTCCTTCTTTGCCTCGAGCCGCACTGGGGTCCAGGTGGGAAGCATGCGGGACCTGGCCTCGTCCTCTCGCGCGGCGGCATCGCGGCTGCTCTCGACCTTGATCCGCTTCTTGACCTTGATGTCGGCGAGACCGTCGTCGTCGCTATGGCTTCCCAGTCCAGGTGCTCTCCGCTCCCTCAGGCGGAAGCTCCTCGCCTCCTGCCTCTCGCTGAGAGATTCGTGGTGAGCAGAACTGGCGGACGAGGTCGAGGCGAGAGTCGTGCGTGAAGGTGCCGGCGGAGGAGGTGGCGCGACTGCCTCCCATTGCCCTGCAAGACCCTCGTCCCTTCGCTGCTCCTCTTCCCTCTGCCGCCGTAGGAACTCGGGATCTTCGTCGTAGCCGAGCGACTGGGCGGTGCTGTACGCGGAAAGCTTGTCGTCGGGCTTCCACTCTGCTCTCTCCCCCGCATTCTTCCCTACACCCGTGGCAACGCTAGCGCCTGCTGCATCGGTCGCTGCCTGCTGCTCGTGCGCCGGCTGCGCGGCCACCGACGTAGACGCTGAGGCGGCCGCCTGGTCGAGGGCGTAGCTGGCCATCGCCTGCTTTTCAATCTTTTCCATCTCTCTCTTGGCGTACTCCGCGTCCTTCTTCTCCTGCTCTCCCTTGCGATAGAAGCCTTTGAGCGCGCGCTCGACGTTGTTCTTGTGTCGCAGGCCATTCTCGTGCTGCCGCCGCGAGGGAACGTCGTCGTTGATGGTGAGGTTGCAGTACTTGCAGGTCCAGCGCTTGCGCGCGATCCAGACGTCGGCCATGGTGGCGAGGTGCAACTCTCCGAGTCTACAAATGGGGCGAAAGAGCCTGTCTTGGACTGGCGGCTGCGTCGTCCGTTTGATTGATGGCCGGTGGCGGTGGCGGGAGGGAAAGGATAGAAGCAAGCAAGCGGCCGGTGCGGATGCAAGGGTCTGGCGTGGGCTTTGTGTGGAGGGCTGCGAGGCAAGAGGAGGCGGAGCCGGAGGGACACGCGGAACCGAGGTGCGCCCGCCAGAGGTTTCGGTCAGGACCGGGCCACCCGAGACGGTGGGCGCGGGGGTCGCGGCCAGGCGAGTCAAGAAGAACCCGCCGCCAAAGGCCAGCCTGGCCCAGGTTTGGCTGAGGGCGAGCGAGCGGGCGGGCCGGCCGCCGCGCCATCGCCAGGTTTGCGGGCCTCGAGCTCTTTGAATTGCGCCGGCTGGCTGGCTGAATTGCGCCTCGTTTGACGCCTCGAACTTTTTGTAATCTAGCTGACCGGGCCCTTTGTGGCAGAGAGGATGCCCGAAATCCGCGCCGCCAGCCCGCCCGCCTGCCAGGCCGCCCACCTGGCTTGCACTTCTCAGCGCCCCTCGGATCGCCGCCGCTGCAGCCTGCTACCGCCGCCGCCTGGTCACCATCGATTGAGAGCACTACCACCTTGCGTCCACCCTTCCCCGTCGTCTTTCCGTCACGCTCCCCTCCCTCACCCGCCCCACCTACACACCGAAAATGACCATGTTCCGTACCGCCCTTCGTTCCGTCGGACGCCAGTCCCGCGGCTTCACCTCCTCGTCCAAGGCCGCCGCTCAGGAGTCGTCGTCGTCCTCGGCCGCCGCCCAGAAGGCCTCCAACACCCTCCAGAGCCTTTCGGAGAAGGCGCAGCAGATCGGCGGTCCCGTCGTCAAGAGGGTCGAAGGCCTCCTCGGTGGTAAGTCCCTCGGACTTTGCCAGACTCCTGCACCACGATGAAACTGGAGGGAGGGCCTGGAAGCCTGCGTTTCGGAGCAGCCAAGGCCTTCCTCATGGACACATGGACACTTGGATAAGGTCCAGCTCGAGTCCGGCCATCATTCTGAGGGCGGATTCCTGGAAGGTCTCTACTGGTCGGACCGATGCTGGACTTGTATCTGCCGTCCCTTGGTCAACGTCGGGCCTTTCAGTGTCTCCGCCTGGATCCTCGCCCTGCGCCTCCGGCTACAATCGGACATCCCCGCTGATCCTGGCTCGCCCATATCTTCGCCACCGATGCAGGCTACTCTGAGCCCCTTCAGTACAACCTCAAGGTCGCCGGGTCCGTCGCCAAGCAGGTCTACATTGCCGAGGGCCTTGCTCCCCCCACCTCGGTCTCGAGCATCACGAGCGCCTACCGCACCATCTGGTCGCGCGTCACCGACGCCGGCTACTGGGGCCAGCTCCTGACCAAGGGACAGTGGAAGCAAGTCGGCATCTACGCCGTCGAGGCCTACGGCATCTTCACGATCGGCGAGATGGTGAGTTCCGCTCCGCCGCAGAGTCTGCCACATTGGCGGCCCGAGAGATGGACGAGGCGCTGACTCCTGCCGCTTTATCCTATTGCCCTTGGCTGGCCATCGTCCCGCAGATCGGCAGGAGGTCGCTCGTCGGCTACAAGCTCGACACTTCCAAGCACGGCCACCACGGCGCTCACCACTGAGGCTCGACGAAGCATACCACCTCCATGTACACACAGCACCTCATCATCGGGACGTGGCTAGATGGAAGCGAAAATTCCGGCACATTTCTCGTCGAGGGCCAGCTTCGGCCCGCGCGGCCCGGTCTCACTCGTTCAGCTGATATCTTCTTTGACCCACAGGCTGTGGGCCGCCACGGGGGATCGGGCCGCCTAGGAGTGAACAGGCTCTTTCTTGTGAGCAGGATCGAGGGCTGGCGGCGAGGATCTGGCGCTGCGAGACGACCAGACGGTCTTCGACCCGCTTCAGCTCCTGGACTCAGCGGCTGTATCGCAGCCGTCGTCGCCCTCGACATCGCAACCAAGCTCGACCGCCACCGTCACGCGCCTGCACGCATCCCGGCTTGTCCACCGCTCGCCGCTAAAGGAGCCCCGTTCGCGGCTGTCCTGCGGCACTGAGCGAGGATCCGGGGGCCTGGCGTGGTGGTCGACGAATCGTGCCGACGCCTGTCACGTCTCGCCTCGTCGCTCGAGGACGGGGTCGAGGTCGGCTGGCGGCGTCGTCCCGGCACTCCTGGTCCTAGGCTCAGTCGTGTCCTTCTCTGACCCTGCGATCAGACGAGAGGTCGCGGCGCCCCGCAGCCATGTTTGACGATGAGCGTCACTTGTCGCTGGCAATGTTCTTGGTGAAGCTGTTCCTCAGCGCTGAGTCCATTCTCTTGTGTGCAATGCTCTCCGCGCCATCGATCTTGCCTCTCGACCGCCCAGCTCAGCCCTGTCGGCCCCTGACCACGTCCCAGATTCAGCAACTCACCTCTTATTCTTCTCGCAGCGAGGTGACTTGCGCGCTTGGGCCGGTTACGAGGAGGGAAGATGAGCGAGCGGGCATAAAGACGGAGGGCAGGAAAAGGCTGGCGCGACCTCTTCGGCGGTTCCCCTATGAACTGCGGCTGATCATAGAGGCGCAAGCGCGGTTGACCTTCGCAACAATATAGATGCTGACCGACGGTGCCCTGGCTGGATGAAGCAGCGGTCCAAGCAACCCGAGCTTTCACGCCAAACTACTCTCTGAAGCTTGGTCGTACGAGGGGCTCAGGAGTACGAGGCGCGCGTTTGGACCGGGTGCCATACAGAGGAGGGAGTTTGGCCACGGCCGCACGATGCCGTGGACCTGGCACAGCAGATTGATGCCGAAGTCGGCTTCCCGATGCATGTGCCGCTGCCAGACGGATGGACGGGCCGTGAAGAGAACGACCGACAGAGATACCGGTAAGGTCGATGTTGGTAGGTACGTCGGAGGCTGCGAGCAAGCGACGAGGAGCCTGTTCGTGCTCATGCTCGTACCGCTAGCACGACGGCGGCTTCGGCCGTCGAGGCTCCGCAGCAATCTGCGCTATCGCTACTGTACAACAGGGTACGGCATCCGTCGGAGACTCGGAGACGTACATTCCTTCTCGACGCAGGACACAGCGGGTGGTGCGACGCAAACCGATCGACGCGCTGCATGTCGTGCACGTACGCACCGGCCGCCCACCACCGCCAAACATCCCCGGTCCCGTCCCGGCTCCAGCTCCAGCTCCGTCTGAATGAAACGAGCGACAAAAGGGGCACCTGTAGACGGTCGATGAAGATGGAGGATGCGGAGCCCGATGTTCTTCTTGCGAAACGGTTCATGTACGATGACAAGAGTCGCGCAATGGCGAGCGAAAGGAGACCAGGAGGTCGAACCGTTCTTGTCGAGGAGTTGGGCCGGTCAGTCTACCCGCCTTCCACGCTCGGAACAACAAGCAAGCAAAGCTGCAAGCAAGCAGGCTAGGGCAAGGCGAGCTTCCCTGTCCAGACCCTCTCTTCGCTCTAAGTCCTCAGCCAGGCTTTTCCCCAGGCTGCTAAAGCATGCACGGAGATGGGCAGCTGACGCAGGCGTCGCAACACGACCGAGCTCCTGAACGCTGCCCACCGCTCGTCGAGCCTGTGTCGTCGGCAGGGTGTTGTTCATGTGGGTGCCCGAGAGAGGCACAAGGCATTCGACGCCGCTTCACGAGCAACTCTAGTTAGCTATGGATTCCATTGAGCGTACGCCTCGTGATCGGCGTCAAAATGAAGAGGGTCAGGAGGCGGAGGCGGAGGCGACGACGACAACGACAACGACCGAGGCGGGTGCGCTGTTCCTCCTCGGCCTCGACGCAAACCGGCGGCAACGGTCGTGTATCTACGGAAGCACGACAACGCCGACGAGCGAGCTTCCAGCTGACGGAGATCCGTGCCCTCGTCGACATGGCTTGATCGCCCGTTGTTTCGTCTGTGGTCCCGGCACACTGCCGGTGGCTTGCTTGCTCTAGGCTCCCTCGCGAGCGGGCTGATCGACGCCGTACATGACATGACATGGCCGAAGAGGATAACTGACTTCGCTGCTGCCGTGACAGCCAGCGGCCCTCGCCACCTCGCCTCTGCGCTGGCCTCGTTTCGAGCCACGGCCCACCGAAGACCAGCTTTTGACCCACAGGTTCATGCTGCAACGCCATGCGCTGCACCGTCGAGGGCTTGGCTGGGGAGCAAGCGGGCAAGATGACCTCGCTTCGGAAGGGGCGAGAGACGCCAGCGAGAGGAGATTGGCTGCGACACCTCTGTCTCTGGCCTTACAAGCGCCGCGCCGCCGAAGTACGTACACCTCGTAAGTCGTCTCGAGAGAGACGGACAGCATCCGACCGGGCCCGGCGTCGGCGCATCGGCTTGACCTGCCCGCAGCGAGTGAGGCAAGACCTCTGCTTCCGCGCGCTCAGGTGGCTGCAACGGGCTTGTAGGAGCTCTCGAGAGGGCGGCTTCTGAACGGCGAGGCGGGGTCGACGACAATGGAGTGGCAACGAACAACGAACGGTGGACGCCCCCGCGCGCAACGCCGGAACGCCGCCGACTTCCGTAAAGCGCCAAGAACGACGAAGAAAAGAAGGGCAAAAGTGGTTCCAGAAGGCGCCACGACTCGGAGGATTGCAAACGGGCGAGTAAGCCGCAGCACCGCGGGCTCCGTGGCTGGCCAGCGGCTGAGCCCGTAGAGCATGACTCTAGGACCACCATCTTAGCTTGCGCCTCTCAGACAGCGGGTGCTGGCAGCTGACCTGCCGCGAGTCGAATCGCAGAGAAGGTCGTCGAATTGTCAGAGTGCCGTGGTGGCCGGGGGGCGGTGGCGACGACGCTCAAAATGAAGGCTGAGCACGGCGCGTGTGGCGTCGAGCGTGCCTCGCTCGCCAGACGACGACGACGACGACGACGACGACGAGGCAGCAGGCGAGCTGGTCGACGGCCATCTTTTCCGGCCAAGTCGAGCCGAGGCCGCGGACACCCGACGGGATGGCTTCGCTCGTCAGGTACGTACGCACGGCTGGCTGAGCCAGACCTGGCCTGGCCAAAGTGCCTTCCAAAGCGACCAGCGGCCCTCGATCGTGCGCGGATGGCTCGGGATGACATGGCTGTGCTGGTCGGTGAAGCGAGACGAGACATATGCTTGCCGGCCAGTCGGTCGGGTCGGGAGGCCAAACGAGACGACCGACAAGCTAAGGTCGCAATCGCCACGGCGGCCGAGGCAGACGCCGCTGATCGCGACGTGGGCCGGCCTCGAAAAGTTTGCTCTCCCCCGAAGCGAGGCAGCCGGAGGAAGTCGAGCGAGATTCCAGCCAGGAGCGTGCCGTACCGTATGTAAGCGTGGCGTGGCCATATGGACGACTGATGGAGAGCCAGGTGGCGAGCAAGCCGGCCAGGCGACGGGACCATCGGACAGATGGGCAGCCAGGTGGACGGATCGAGATGCATGGCGCCGTAGCCTTCGTTGCTTGCTTGCTCGATGTCTTGCCAGGCAGGGCCATGCCGGCGCCTGGCCTTGCAAGCTTCTTGCCTGCCTGTTGCGCCGGCCGGCAGAAAAATGCGTCGAGGTTCTAACCTGTCCATTCGGTCAAAGTGCGTCGGGTCAGGACTACGGGCCTCGCAGCGTCGGATCGATCGGCTCGCTGTTGGTCTCTCTGCGGAAGCAAGCAAGAAGCCAGCCGGCAGGCAGGAGGGAGGGCTGGCTAGAGGGCAGGCTAGGGCAGGTAGGGTGGCCTGGATGTCCTGCGGTCTGAGGAAGTCCGCGCCCCGGCTGGCCGCGCCGTCGATCTGGCTGCGTGCGACGGCCGGACGACGGCTGGGTCGGTCGGTCCTTAGCTTGCTTCCTGCTGCGTTAGCCCCTCTCTCTGTCTGGCCTGCTTTCGCCGGCAAGAGTGAGCTGTCGTGTCCGGCTGGGCATCGCTCCCGGCCTCTGCCTCGACTTTGATCGATGCTGGTGAATGCTGCAGGCAGGGTCGGTGGCGCTTCCGGTGGGTCCTGATATCTTCTGACGGTCGGTGTGTATGTGTGGCCAGGCGGCCTGGCCTGCTGTCAGGCAGGTCGATCCTTGCCTGCTTGCTGCTGCTGGCGTCGGCTCGTGCGCCTGGGGGCGGACGGGGGGTCGGTGTTGTTGTTTTTGGCCTGGCGGGCGTGTTTGGCCATGATGGAATTTTGCGTCGATCTTGGCCTGCCTGCCGCCCAAGTCCAGTCAGAAACCTCCGCCGCGCGGCGGGCCTGGCCTAGCCAGGCGAGGTTTTCGGCGTGCTTCTGTCCCCCCCCTGCTGGCCGGCCTGGGCCTGCGGTGGACGTTGATCTTTCGACTGGCGCGCATCGTCCGCGCCGGCGCTCCCCTGCCGCTTCCCCCTTAGCAGCAGCAGCAGCAGCAGCAGCAAGCAGCAAGCAGCAAGCCGCGGGGGGCCAAGCCAGACCAACCCAGCTTGGCGGCTGGCGGCGGCTGGCTTGCTCTGGCCTCCCTCTATCTCTTCTCTCTCCCTGTGCGACCGACCGACCGACTGGCCGACCGACTGACCTGCCTCGGTCCTCGCGCCTGCTGTCCCCCTTTCCCCTTTGCCCAGCCTCGCCTGCTGTGTGGCCTCGCTCGGCGTGCCTCTGCCGGGCGCGCAAACGGTGCCCCTCTCCTGCTTGCTCGGTCGTCGCACCCTGCCTGCCTGCCTCTGACCCCCCCCGCCTGCAATAAGTACCGCTCGTCGCCTCTCGAGCTTCCCCTGGCCCCGCTTCCTCCCTCCCTTCTCGCCACCATCCACTCAGCCCTCTTCCCTCTTCTCCTTTGTCGACACCAGTCTCTCTTCGTCTCCACCACCTCAACCCGTCTCTACATCTCCATCGCCATCATGCAGTACTCGCAGGGTCTCGTTCTCCTCACCGGCCTCGCCGCCGCCGGCTTCGCCTACGCTCAGGCCTTCACCGCCAACACCCCCGCCTCGCTCACCCAGTGCCGCCCCGTCCAGCTCACCTGGACTGGTGGCCAGGCCCCCTACTTCCCCCGCATCACCGCCCCCGGTGACATCAACACTGTCCTCAAGGACTTCGGCCAGGTTGACGGCAACTCGCTCTCGTGGACCGTTGACCAGCCCGAGGGCCAGACCGTCACCTTCTCGGTCGGCGACTCGGCCGGTAACACTGCCAACTCGGGCATCACCCCTCCCATCCTTGCCGGCAGCGCCAGCTGCCTCAACGGCGGTGCCGCCGGTGGCAGCTCCTCCGCCGCCCCCTCGTGAGTGTCTGCGTGTCGCCTTGTGGCCGGCCTGGCCCATCCGGACCGCTCTGCTGTGCTTCGTTCCTGTTATGGCCTATGTTGGCTGACCATGCTCTTCTCTTCCGCCTTGTACTCCACTACTGCTTTTTCGTCACTTCAGCGGCTCGTCCAGCGCCGCTCCCTCGAGCTCGTCGGCCTCGGCCAGCTCCTCCATGAGCTCGTCGGCCGCCGCCTCGTCGTCGTCGGCCAGGCCCTCGAGCAGCGCCGCCTCCAGCTCTTCGGCCTCGAGGCCCGCCTCGTCGTCGGCCCCCGCCCCCTCGGCCACCCAGTCGTCGGCCCCAACAGCGCCGCCTCGACCCGTGGCGCCTCGGCCGTCGTCGCTGGTGTCGTCGGTGTCGCCGTCGCTGCCCTCCTCTAAGCAGCCCGCACGCGCGCGCGCCCATGCATTCCCTCAACCTCATCCCTTCTTTTCTGTTGGCCCACGGTGGGGCGACGCGTGGGTTGCGAGACCACGTCGCGCCCGGCCTCGATGGACACTCCCTAGCTAGATCATACCACTGCCTCTCTGCTCGCGCGCCGCACGCCCCTCGAACGGGTGGGCTGCACCGGCCTCGTTATTGAACCGCCGTCACCTCAGCATTCCCTCCTCGCCCCTCTCCCACCTCCTTCGATGCTTCACTCTCGCTTTTCTCCCCTTGTTTTTTGCGTGCGCCCCTGCCTCTCCATGGTCGGCGGCACCTTTATTCAAAGATCCGCTCAAACATCACCTCGTTCGCGCCCCGTGTGATGCCGTAGTCGACGTGCCTCGTGTACGAAGCCTGGGCTCGGTACTCGCTCCTTCATCGTCTTTGATCATCCTTGAGCTGGCTGTCACTGCGATGGCCTCTCGTGGCCGCCGCTGTGTTGGGGCTGGCTTGGTCTTGATGCCTGGCGCTGCTTCCTTCGGCCGTCTGCAAAGGGGCTACTACTGGGTGGCGTGGATCATGAGCGAGGAAGAAAGGTCCGTCGTCGTTGTTGGACAGCTGAGTGCAGCGCAGTCAGCCGGCGGGACAAAGGCCCAAGGCAGGCAACGCGGTGGGGCGGGCCGGGTTGTCTGGCCTGACCTGACCCTGACAGGTGGCGGCGGCGGACGGCCCACTGCTCAGGCGACGTCTTGTTCCCACCTTCCCGCCCTCAATCCGACCATGGGTTTCATCAGCGCCACCATCATCCGTGCCCGCCCGCCTGCCTGGCTTCCAGGTCCCGCTTCAACGCCCCAGGTCGCCACCATCCAGCTTGCGATCGCCGCAGGCAAAGCAGCACCGGCCCACCAAGTCTGGTTCCGATGCCGTCGCTGATCGACGCGACCCTTCCACGCCATGGTCGCCCAACAGTCGTCGCGTTCCCGGGCGGGCGGAAGCAGGGCAGTGGTGCTGCCAAAGGCCTCTGAGCGCGACACGAAGCGCAAGCGCAAGCGCCAGACTCGGCCCAGGCGCAACCCGGGTCGCTTGAGGGCGCTCCTCGGCTTTGGCCCAAACGACGACTACATCGAGACGGGCCCGATTTCTTCCACCTCTTCCTCCGACGACGACTCGGACTCCCACGATGACCAGGACGGCGATCATAGCGATCATGAGGGGGCTGGCGGTTCGAGAGTTGCGACGCGAGCTCAGGTACCAGCGGTCACCTCCGCCTTCCCCACGGCCTCGACGCGATCTCCAACCCCCGCCACTGGTCCCAGCGCGCAGCCGGCCGACAATGCGCATTCGGACTCTTCCGAAGAGGAGTACGTCCTGTCCATGGCACCGAAGCGGGCGGTGGCCGCGCCCAAGCTTGCCGAGTCCTCGCATCGGGCGAGGCAGGATGCGAAGCAGGACCCCAAGTCTGGCCGTGAGCATCCTGGCCCAGTCGTCGGGACCGACCACAGCAGCCTCTCGGACACCGAGTCCGACGACGACGGCGGCGAGTACAGCCTGACGAGGAGCGAGTCGTACCGCAACGTTTCGGCCGCATCCTTGCCCCTCTTCACAACCACACCGGCGGCAGCGGCAGCAACGACCGCTCAGCGGCCCGAGTCGCCCTCTTCCTCTTCAGACGACGAGCTTGTCCTCACGCTGCGTCCTTCCACCAAGCAGGCCGCCGCTCGACCTGGCCCGACCGTCGCGCCGAGAGCGGAACCCAGTACCGCCGCCGACGGTCCCGCTGCTCTTGACCAAGGCCAGCGTCCGGCCTTCTCGGTTTCTGCAGAGCAGGCACGAGTCGGCCCCCTCGAGCTAGGCCCAGGCTGTGTCGTGCCCGCCTCGATCAACCGCTTCCTCCGAGACTACCAGCGCGACGGCGTGAGGTTCTTCTACAAGTCGTACCAGGAGCGGCGGGGCGCTCTGCTCGGCGACGACATGGGCCTCGGCAAGACGATCCAGGTCATCGCATTCCTGTCTGCCATCATGGCCAAGACGGGCCTCGAGTCGGACGCCGACCGCAGGATCGAGGCGGTACGCAGCGGACGCCAGGGGTCGGGCTTCCAGAAGGCCAACGGCACCTGGCCCACCTGCTTGATCATCTGCCCGAGCAGCGTGATTGACAACTGGCGCGGCGAGCTCGACACCTGGGGCTATTTCGAGCACGCCGCATTCACGGGCGCCAAGGGGCGCGCCGCCATCGAGGCGTTCCGCAGAGCACGACTCGACATCCTTGTCACATCGCACGAGACGGCCGCCCTGAACATCGACCAGCTCGAGGACCTCGACCTCTCGTGCGTCCTCATCGACGAGGCGCACAAGCTCAAGAACCCAAAGTCGCAGTTGACCCAGGCGATGCACCAGTTCAAGTGCCCCGTCCGGCTCGCCCTCACCGGAACGGCGATCCAGAACTCCTACCGCGAGCTGTACACGCTGGCCGACTGGACCAATCCGGGCCTGCTGGGCGACGTCAAGGAGTGGCACCGTGAAATCGAGCAGCCGCTCAAGACGGGGCAGAGGCGCGACGCCTCCGACGAGCATATCGCCGATGCCAGGACGCGGGCCGAGAAGCTCGTCCAGAACGTGCTGCCGCTGTTCTTCCTCCGCCGCACAAAGTCGCTTATCCAGGATCAGCTTCCGCAGAAGTTTGATAAGGTCGTGTTCTGTCCTCTGTCCAAGACGCAGCTCGACGTGTACCGGCGCATCCTGGCCGAGCCTGAGGTCGACTTTATGCTGCGCCACGCCGACCCCTGCGACTGCGGCGTCCTCGATCAGCAGACCCAACTGCCTTTCCGCCGGCAAAACTGCTGCTACAGCCGCGACAGCAACGGCGACCCGTGGAACAAGCACATGCTCAAGTACATCTACCTCCTGCAGAAGTGCAGCAACCACGTCGCGCTCGTCTTTCCCGACCCCGAGGACGCCACCGCCAAGGAGGCGGAGCGCAACGAGCGCTACGAGCGCCAGCTGTCCTACGTCAAGCTCATGTTTCCCGACGACTGGAAAGACAAGAGGTGCAACGCGGCCAACGGTATGAAGGCTGAGTACTGCGGCAAGTGGAACGTGCTCGCCGGCCTGCTCAGGCAGTGGCGGACCGACGGCGACAAGGTGCTGCTCTTCTCGACCAACATCCGCCTGCTCCAGTTCATCGAGTTCTTCATCATCCAGGAGGGCCACAGTTTCTGCCGCCTGGACGGATCGACGCCGCAGGCCAAGCGGCAGGACCTGGTCGACAAGTTCAACCGCGATCCGGACGTCTTCATCTTTCTCATATCGACGACGGCCGGCGGCACGGGCCTCAACCTGACCGCAGCCAACAAGGTCGTCGTCTTTGACCCGCATTGGAACCCATCGCATGACCTGCAGGCCATGGACCGAGCCTACCGCTTCGGCCAGACGCGCGACGTCAACGTCTACCGGCTGATTGGCGCCGGCTCGCTCGAGGAGTGCGTGTACGGCCGCCAGATCTACAAGCAGCAGCAGATGGCGATCGGCTACACGGCCACCAAGGAGCGCAGGTACTTTGAGGGCGTCGCCGGCGACAAGGAAAACATCGGCGAGCTCTTCGGCGTCAAGAATCTGTTCAACCTGCAGGAGTCTGGCATCGGTACCAAGTCGATCATCGACGAGTGCAACATCGCCGAGGTCTCGTTCGCGCTCAAGCGGTACCTCGACAAGGCGAAACCGGGCGAGGCGTCAGCCACGGCGGACGACGAGACGCTGCTCGAGCTGGCAAACGGCGAAAGCGCCACACAGATCCACGAGGCAAAGGTCAAGGACGAAGACGACGTCGAGGACCCGATCAAGTCCATCCTCGACAGCGTCGGCGTGCGGTACACGCACCTCAACGACCAGGTGACGGGCGGGAGCAAAACCGAGGCTCGCATCTCTCGCCAGGCCAAGAGGGCGACGCTGGCCCGAGATCCGCGCCGGCCGCCGAGCACGGCCACCAGCGGTTCCTCGACGAGGACAAAGGCCAAGCGGACGGCGACGACTAGTGGGGCAGTCTGGCCCCCACCCCGGCCCAAGGTGGGCGAGGTTCCCGGTAGCACGGCAGCTGGTCATGACCTGGCCGATGGAGCGCAGGCGATGCCGAGCAGCCCAGTTGCCGCAAAGGAGAGGTGCGTATTGTCGATGGCGCTGCCTGGTGCGCTCGCTCTTCGCTTATTGACTTCACATCTGCCCTTCCTTTGATATACCAGGCCGGGACTGGGCGCCGCGGCGGCAAGACGCACCGACTTCTCGCTCGAAAAGATCGCGGAGCTCGAAGGACTGACCGAGGCGGAGGTCGCGGCGCGCATTCGCGAGGTGAGTATCCAGCGGTGCATCTCTGCGGCGAGCACGAGGGCATCACGAGGCGTCGCGGATCTCATGCTGACTGTGCGCCATCGCCTGTCGCCTCTCCGCACGACGTCAGATGTCCAACAAGGAGCAGACGGTCTATTTCGACCGAGCGTTGCAGCGACTCGCGAGGTCGGCGCACACGCTCTGGACGGCGGCCGTTGAGGACGAATGAGCACAGGGGCCCTGACCCGACACTCCACTGTACAACACAGCACGACTATGATACCGACCCGTCGACTTGCTAATCCGACTCAAAGTGGCGCAACAAGACGCCGCTGCGATTGTAGCGCCAGCCGAGCCAGCATTGATCTCGGCCGGGGCGGTCTGTGCCTGCGACGTGGCCGAAGGTGGCGGCGGCGGCGGCTGCTGTGCCGTTGTCGCCGCAGAGATGATGAAGTCGCTGCAAAGGGGCGAGGTGGGGACAATGGTTGGACGGCGTCGTGCGCGCCCGCTCTGGCCGGCCTGGTTCGCCGACGCTCTCCGCCCACCATATGCCAACACCCGTTCACCCACCTCTCACTCACCCACCGACTGCGCCCATACGGCAGTGTCTGGCCCACCCCAGCTCGGCGCCGGGATGGGTGGATTGGTCGCGTCTTCATTGACCGGACTGAACGGAACGGGCTAGGCGCAGATTCGGTCCCTCGGAGTGTCGGGCCACCATCAAGTGTTGGCCAGCGATGACTGCTTCGGGTTCTCGAGACCCTGATAAGTGGGCCAAGGCCGACACGTCTGTCCCCGTCTCGGAAACCCACTTTCTCTCCCCTTCTACATCGATTCCATCCCGTCCCCTACCTGCCTTTGCTCCTCTTTCGCATCACGCACAGGCTCCGAATAACGACGGCAAGATGGTCGTTCCTGAACGACAGCCGCGGGATCCGCCGACGCCGTACCGGGATGACGACGACGACGTGCCCCTGATGTCGGTCTCGCTGTCGACGCCACAGCAGAGTGGCCAGAGCGCGCAGCAGCCCTGGAGCGTAGGCGTAGCCGTGCCCGACGAGAAGACGACGAATCGGCCGAGGCGACGCTGCTGCAGTGCGCGCAACGTGAGTGGCCGTGTCGCGGTGGATCCGGGGTGGCGGAGCGCGCGATGTGTGCTGACGGCCCCCGGACCCTGCCCCGGGGCTCGGTGCTGCAACCGACAGTGTCTGCTGCTCTTCGTTGGGGTGCTGTTCGGCTTCATCTTTGCAAAGGCAACAACGGAATCCAAGGCTCGACTGCCCAAGGCGCTCGTGGTACGTTCCCTCTGGCCCGACCACTCGAGCACCGCACGGTCGAACCGCGACTGACCGACCGGCACCGGCCCACGTCCGCGATGCCCGCAGCAGCATCTGCCGTCGCTCTCGACGCTCAAGGAGCATCTGCGCATCCCGCACTTCCCGTCGTCCTCACCGAATGCGGACAGGGTGGTCGTGACGATGCGGACGGGCTCATCGGTGCTCAACAGCCGCCTGCCGCCGCACCTCGACGCCTTTTCCAGCCGGCGGCCGCCCAGAACGGTGCCGCCGCAGCTCGTCATCTACTCGGACTGGGAGGTGCAGCTCGACGATGGGTGGCACGTCCGCAACGCCCTCGCCAATGTCAGCGACACGATCAGGAGGCAAGAGGATTTCCAGGCGTACGCCGAGTTGAGGCGCGTCATTGTGAGTGTGTGCTGCGGAGGGAGGCGAAGGCAGGAGGTGACGATGCTGATCGACCTCGCTGCTGAGACGGGTGGCGATAGGAGGAGAACGGAAGGGTCGAAGAGTTCCGGGACGGCCACAAGCTGGACAAGTGAGTCGATTCGATTCGCAGTCGGGGAATGGGGATGGCGGAGGATCCTGACGTTCCCTTGCTCTTTCTTCCCTTGAACGCACGGCCCCAGGTACAAGTTCATGCCACTGTGGTGAGTCTATACCGCAAGCACATCCAAGTGCAGCAGTGGAGTTTGGTGTCATCGGACGAGTCGCTGACGACTGGCCCTTTGCGATCGTTTGCGAGTCAGGAACGACGCCTTCCGTAGCTTTCCGGATGCCGACTGGTACATCGGCACGGAGGACGACAGTTTCATCTTCTACAAGCCGGTACGTCGTTGTCCTCGCCGTCGACGGTGGCGGCGCTGGTAGCGAGTCGATGTTCACTCAGCCATCCACCCTCGCCTCGTTTGCCACCGATCACGCCCTCCTGAAACCTCGCAGCTGCTCAAGCTCCTCTCGACGCTCGACCCGACCGCCCAGCACTTCCTGGGCTGTACAAACTACCTGGTCCCGTCCAACGAGCTCTTCGCCAACGGCGGGTGCTCGTACGTCTTTTCGCGCGCCCTCCTCGCGGCGACGTTCGGCTCCTCCCCCGCGTTTGTCGATAGCGCCGACGGGCGCATCGAGAACAGCTGCTGCGGCGATGGCGAGCTGGGCGTGTCGATCTTCCACCACGCTTCCGTCTCGCTCAAGTCGCTCAGCAAGGAGAGCAGGCAGAGGTTTACGGGAGCCGCGCCGTGGAAGCACTGGTACGACGAGGCGAACTGGTGCGAGCCCATCGTCAGTCTGCATCATCTCGATGCTTGGAGTACCCGGAAACTGTACCGGTTTGCGGTGAGTTCGCGGTGCCCGAGAGGTGGTGCGATGAGGCGCGGAGGCTCATCGTGCTCGAGACTGTTTGCTGCCTCGTTATCCAGGACCTCATCGATCAGCGACTCGTAAGTCGTTTCCCCCGCGCGTGCATCGTCAGACGACGGGCACGAGCCTGATCTGACACCTCGTCCCTCGGCCGCCTTCCCCTCTTCGGCTACAGCCGGAAAACGACACAGTCCGATTCGTCGACATCCACGGTAGGTGCATCCCGGCCCTTGAATCACGCTTCCTTGCCCTCCGAACGCTTCCCACCTGACCCATCCCCCTCCCTCCTCCTGCTGGATTCCAACAAGCAGACATCTTCCAACCTTCCTTCCTCTCGACAAACAAGAGCAGCACGGGGTCGAAGACGGCGCGCAGGACGTCGTGGGTGGCGCTCGACGGTGAAATCTCACCGCGCGTCCTCTTCCCCCTCTCGAACCTCACCACCACCACCACCACCAGCGGCGGCGGGGGTGGGAGCGGGGCGGCGCGAACTCCGTCGCGATGGACATCCGACCTCTGCTCCGGAGCGTGTCAAGACGACACGTCGTGCTTCGTATGGACCCTCTTTCCGCCTGGCTCCGCCTCGGCATCCAACAAGTCGACGGGAGACTGCTACCTCCTCCGCAACGCCACCGCCTTCGGGTACAGGACCGACGAGAGGGGACAGCAAAAGGGCCATTCGTACGAACCCGTCGAGAGCGGTTGGATGCTCGCGCGCTTCCAGGAGTGGAGAGCGAAGTTCTGGTGCAGCGCTGGCAGGTACACGCCCATCGGCCAGGAGGAGCTCTATGTCTGACTTGGCGTCGACTTTGGCCGGGTTCATTCTTTCCTCTCTTTGCCAAGCCGCTCCATTCGCTCGGCCTAATTCGATCCTTTCGTATACCGCAGCCGTCAACAGAGGCACAGGCTCGTGACTGCCCTCATCGCGTCGAGGGGTCGACGGTCTTGGTGATGCGCATGATGTCGCCAACGCGTAGCACGCCAGCTGCGGCGACGGGGCCAGTGACAAGGGGGATGAAAGCCGCCGCGAGGCATCGTCAGCCGTATTGTTCTGTTTTGCGTGCGCGCGTCCGTGGTGCCGCCGCGGTGCCTCGGGCCGACACTCACACGTCTCCCTGGGCACCGAGAGCATGCCAAAGCACGGCTTGCCCTTGACGGCATTCTTGGGGTCCACCTGGCGGTACTGCTGCAGGACGCGGTAGGGCAGGAAGTTGTCGCGCACGCCCGTCTCGGGGTCGATGTTGGGCACCTGCGAGGAGCGAAGCATCACTCCGGTCAGTCTCTCTCGGGTGCCAATGAGCGGCAGAACTTCATCTCGGCACGGCAACTCACCATGCACCGGGCGCACTTTTCCAAGATGTAGAGCCCGCGACCTTTGCCCTCGGCCTCGGCGCCCATCGGCGGCTTGTCGCCCGAGGACGGGTGGAAGAACTCGGCCGCCTTCCAGCCGTCCTCCTCCCAGGGCACCAGCTCCGGTCCCGTGCTGCCGGGCAGCGTGTGGACGATGATGTTGGGCCGGAAGCGGGTGATGGGCAGCGTCTCGAGCTCCTCGGCTGGAGGTCAGCAGTGGCGTGGGGGGGACGAGCCGGACTCAAAGTATTTAGCAGAGGCTCACGTCGAAGAGGCAAGGGTGGCTGCGGGGCACTCACGAGTCCAGTATTCGCGGTTGACCGATGCGGGCACCTTGTAGCTGTGCACGTCTCGGCTCTCGCTGCTGTCCTGTGCCTCGGTGCCCTGCTCCGATGAAGGCTGGAGAGACGGGTAGACCGAGGCGGCCAGAGTCTTTTGGACGTGTCGCAGCGAGGCGGCCGAGGCGACGGTGCACGGGTAAAAGTCCTGGTAGCGGACCGTCGACTCCTGCCATTCCTTGGGCCCGTTGACGTCGGTGGGGCCCTGGCAGTCGGGGAGAAGCGAGGGAGAAAGGGTCAGCCGAGGCCTGCCTGCACGCTGTCCGGGCGCCGAGCTGTGCTCACCGAGGGTCTGGGCGAGGGGCCCTTTCGGACGAGGCGGACTGGCTTGCCAAAGTAGGCCGAAAGCTTTTCGTCTGCCTCCTGGGAGACGGCGTACCCGTTGACCTTGTGGACCCTGTTCGTGCATTATCAGAGCACTAGGGATCAGCACGTAGATCTCTTCAAGGGCTGCGGGAGCGGACGGAGTTGGGCCTTACCAGATGGTGATGTCGTCGATGAGCTCGCACTGGTCGAGCCACTGCTGGGTGGGCTCGAGGGTGGTCTCGATGGTTGCGCCGGGTGCACCGGTTTCGGTGGGCGGGATCTCGATGGAGAGGATGTTGCGCTCAGTGTCGATCCGGGGATGGATGAGGACCATCTTTGGGAGCTCCCTTGCCGTGTAGAAGCGGCGAGTTTCTGCGTCGATGATGAGCCAGGTGCGGTCGAACTTGAGGCCGGCTGGTGGCGGCGAGGGGGAAGGGAGATCGGGAAAGAGCGGTGAGCGCGGGTGTCTGACAGCGTGCTCGCAGAGAGGGAAACTTACAGTGATCGTACTCGGTCTGCTGTACGCTGGTTCCTCTGCAGCTCTTTATGGGGTGGATGAGGATCTGTTTGATTTCGAGCTCCTTTTCGAGGCTCTGCGCGTGGTTGGATGCTGCCCCTGCGCGGTTGGACGACGCGAGTGCGCTCTGGAGAGCATCGTTTGCGCTCGAGAGGAGCGAGGTGGCGGAGGATTTGATGGCGTCCATGGTGACGGTGGTAGTGGCGGTGTGGCGCGTGGTGATGGCGGCGGCGGCGGCGGTAGTGGTGGTGGTAGGGAGAAGGGCTCCCGTCGATGGCACGCGGCGAAGGGGCAGCCAAAGCGGCCGGCCAAGGTGGAGGCGCACGGTTCAGGCCATTGACAGCAACCGCCAGGGTCCACGCGGCGACGGCCACTCAGGTGCTCGCGCCTTGGTTGCACCTCGCCACAACCACCTCGGACCCAATCCTCTCTGCCAGCAAGCCAGCATGTCGATACCGGCGTCCTCCTCGTCGTCGTCGTCGCCGCAGTCATCACACTCATCGTCACACCCATACGATCCCGATCCACGCCCCACGCTGCGCATCTTTGCCACCGTCGGCACCACCCGCTTCGACGGCCTCATCACCCAACTCGTCTCGGCCCACTTTCTATCGCGCCTCGCACAGGTCTACCTGCCCTCGCATCCGTCCATATCGCCCCACGTCCACCTCACAATACAGTACGGCAAGTCATCCATAGCAGACATACTCGCAGACTCGTCCCTCGCCTCCCCAGACGACGGCAGCCAGCTCATCCCAGAACCCGGCCTCCGCGTCATCCAGGGCAGAAGAGTCTACCAGAACAACCTCAAACACCTCCCCGCACTCGACCCGGGCCGCACTGGTACCCTCAACGGCCTCCGGATACGACACACAAGAAAGGTACAAGACCAGGTGCGCGACATGGTCCCCGGCGAGCTCGGCGTCGCAGATGCCCTCCAACAAGCCCTAGACGCCGCCAAAACCGGCCCCACGTCGACCCATCCGGGCACCACCGACTACCTCCTTGGCGGCGCCCTGGAAGCCACAACCGCCGATAGCATCGAGCTAGAGATGCTTCAGTTTGCCCCCGATCTGACCCAGTACATCGCTGAAGCCGACGTCGTCGTTAGCCATGCCGGTGGGTTCTCGCCTTGGCCCGACGCCCCCAGCCAATCTCATTCTGCCCAAGTGCTGACCACGCTGCCCCACCCCGCCCCGCCGCCCCGCCCGGACACGAAACACCGCCCCCAGGGTCAGGCACCATCATCGAGACGCTACGGCGCCAGGGAAGACCGCCTGCCCTGATCGTGGTGCCCAACACGTCGTTGATGGACAATCACCAGGCCGAGCTGGCAGATGCGCTCGGTCGCGAGGGATACTTGGTGGTTGCAGAGGAAGGGTGAGTGAGGGCCTGCTCGGATCCTCGGCCTGGTTTTGGATTCAGGACTGCCTGCTGAACCCGCTGGAACCCCTTCCTTCCTGGCTCCGATCCGGCCCCTCGGCTGTTGCTGTCGGCTGCGACAGGAGGCTGGCGGAGCAGATCCAACAGGCGCTGCTGGACCGGCAACAAGGGCGGATCCGGCCTTTTCCCGCCTTCCAGCCGGCCAGGTTCCAGCAGCTCGTCGATGGCCTGATGGGCTTCTGACATGGGCGACGCGGCAGTCGAGATGAAAGGAGTTCCTTGCTTGCTTTGCCTTGCCTTGCCTTGCCTTCACGTGCAGCGTCCCTCACCACGAGCAGGCTCGCTGCCTGCTGACTGCGCCCGGATGCCGACGAGGGCGAGGACGGTGGTGGTGGGTGGTGGTGGACAGTGGTGCTGCGCTCGCCTGGTCCTCCCTCCGGGTAGGCGAGTAGCAGACAGGGGCGCCGTGCAGACTGAGCCAGCGACGTCGGGCAGCGCAGCGCAGCGGCCCACGTCAAAAAACAGCCGAAAGCCCTGGCTGGGGCCAGGCATGAAAAACCCGCCCAGAAGATAGGGGCTGCCTCGCGCTGTTCAACATCTACGCGTCGGCCGGGCTTGGTCCTGCCTGCCCTTGTCCCGGCATCATCATCAGCAGCAGCGGCATGTTCCTGCTTCCCATGCTTATGCTTAGCTTGCTCGGTGGCTCCGGCTGAGCATCGATTGCGCCGTCGCCGGTTGGCCCGATCGATGGCCGGCCCAGGGCATGGACAATGCCAAGTGCGGCTGAGTGGGGCGCCTTCCGCCGTGTCCGTGTAGAGAGGAGCAGACTCGCTGCCCGTCCCGACCACACCTGTCCTCCCCGTCCTTCGTCCGGCTGTGCGTCGCGGTACTGCCACTGCCGTCCGTCGTGCAACTTCTACCTCGTCGCCTTGCCTCCGTCTTCAACTTCTCCCTTCCACTCTCCGACACCATCTCCTCCCTCCCCTTCCTGCTGCATCCGTCCTCCTCCTCCCCCCATCCCTTGCTCCACCATCCTCGACCTCGACCTCGACCTGGTCCATCCCACGACACGCTCTTGGACGCCTGCCTGCATGGAATGTTCCTCTGACCCAACTCGAGTCTCGAGGTCTCAGTCGTCGAGACACCGGGCGGCTTAGCCCTCCCGCACGTCCCTGCCACGTCCCTGCCACGCCACGCCACGCCTCGCACGCCTCGCAACGCCCACGCCTGATACGTCTGCATCCTCCTGCCGCCGCCTTCGTCGCCGTGGTCCATCAACGGGACAGGGGCGAAGACACACGACTCGAACGAACGACTCCGAAACGAAGCCGTACCGTACTGCCCATCTGGGTCCGCCTTTTCCCGCAGCTTGTCAAGGACGGCGTACGCGGCTGGGACGATCCTTGCTGCCGGGTCGGCCGGCCAGCTGGGCTGATATATTCGGTACGTCTGTCCATTGACCCTCCTGCCACATCATCGGCCAATGCCATGCACGAATCTCGGCCGCCCCTCCGCCTCCAGCCCCGTCGTTGGCTCTTGCCGTCGACCCGGCCGCACCTTTGGGCATGTCTCGCGAGCCTCATGGTCAACAGACGCCATCCGGTCGCACAGCAGATGCTTTGAGCTCGAGCTAAGGGCCCAACTCCGATGGCAAGGCTGAGGGGTTGGGCTGGGCTGGGCTGGCCGCTGTCGACCCCGACGCCCTCCGATCAGATCTCGCTCCCGTCGTACCAGCTGCCACAGCCAGACTGACCAGCATTCGCTCCGCTCCGCTCCACCGCGCCCGTCCTTCTTCTTGCACGCCATCCCCTCCGCCGTCTCCATCGACCTTGAACTCGACACCGCGCCGAACACCACGCTCTACTATCGCAACCGTCACTGTCCGTGCCTCGTCGACGGCGATACCGTACGGCCGTACCACGATGCGCCACCACAGAACAAGATCACGCACGCCTTCGGATTGAGACACCGCGTCCAAGCAGGTCACGGCCGTCGCTCAACCGCCACCTCTTGGGATCGCATCGACCCGAACAGCGGTGTCGGGCTGACGCTCCATCGAAGGACGAAGAAGGGAGGGGGACTACGGGCACAGCGTCGTAGCGAATGGCCACGATACCGCTCCAAGCGCCCGGTCCGGGCCCTACGGACCAGGCTCTGCCCGGTTACCTGTCCTACTCGGCCGTCGCGACCCAGGTGCAGACCTTGGTCGAGTCGCAGACGCGCATCGTCTATGATCCCCAGGGCGGCTTTGCGCCGTACCAGACCGTCGACGTCGTCACGGCCACGGCCACCAGCGTCGACTACACCATCGTCAATGTGCCCCTCCTCTACACCGGTCCCTTTCCCGCGCCGCCACTAGGCTCGCTCTACACGACTCCGGGACAGTCGATATCGCAGACCGATTCCGCTTCCGCTACAGCATCGGCCACGGCAACGGCCACGGCCACACCGTCTGCATCGGCATCGGCATCAGCGAGTGCCAGTGCGTCGGCATCGGCGAGCGCGTCTGCGACAGCGTCGCCCAGCCAGCAGCAGAGCAGCGGCGCCTCTTCGCCCGCAGCGACACCAGCGCCGACCGCCAGCAGCGCTTCGGCGTCCAACAGTCAAAGCCAAAGCCCCAGCGCGAGTGCCAGCGACCCGGCGACCGCAAGCGATGCCTCCGCCGCTTCCTCCGCGTCAGCAGCATCTGCCTCTTCCCTCTCTGCGGCCTCCGCCTCCGCCTCCGCCTCCGCCGCGTCGTCCTCTGCCTCGGCCTCAGCATCGAGCGCTTCTGCCGCCTCGTCTTCCGCAGCGACAACCCCCTCTTCTTCTTCGACGACGCCGCCGACCTCGTCCACGGGTGCACCCGAGCCGACCGCTTCGGTCGCCGCATTGCCCAACGCTCGGAACAACCTCTCCGCCGGTCAGATTGCCGGAATCGTCATTGGCTCCGTGCTCGGCCTGCTGCTCCTGCTCCTGCTGCTGCTCTGCTTCCTCCGAAGGAGGCGAAATCAGAAGCGCGGCGCTGCCTATGCTGCGGCGGGTACGGGCGGAGCGGCAGCCCGTGCTGCTGGGCCCAGGTCGAGGCTGACGAGCGCCTTCAATCGAGGAGGCACGCGTGGCAACTACGCTGCTGTCGGCGCGGGCGCGGCTGCAGGAGCCGGAGCAGGAGCCGCTGCAGGCGCTGCCGCTGGCCGTCGCGGCAGCCTGGACAGCGACGAGTGGGAGGAGGACCATCTCTCTGGCAGCGGCGGGTCTGGCTTCTTTGTCGTCGGCGGCAAGCGGCAGGGCTCGGCCCGCAAGCCCAGCCTGGTCGGCCGGCGCAACGGCATCGACCCTTCCACGGCCTACGCTGCCGGTGGCGAGCCCAGCTATACCCTGGGCAATGCTGCTCCTTCCTCTGCCAACGGAGGCCGGGCGGCCAGCGGAAGCAAGGCCGGACTGGCCGGGCTCGGTCTCGGCGGCGGCCTGCTCGCTGCTGCCTTTGGCAAGAAGAAGAACAAGGGCAAGGAGCGCGCGACCGACGTCGATGGCGACGACGACTTGCCGCTCAGCGATGAGGATGGCGCCGACGGCGAGATGTCGGAACGTCGGGGCCTCATGAACTTCATGGCCGACCCGTCGGGAGCCGCTGGCGGAGGAAGGGGAGGCGTCACCGGCGAGCCAGAGATGCAAGAAGTCTCGCGCGGTCCCGGCAGCTCCTGGCACCCGGACGGACACGCGCTCGGTGCGGCCGCCCTTGGCGCAGGTGCGGCAGGAGCCTACGCTGCGGCTCGGGGAGGACGCGACAGCCACGGATCGAGCAGCAGCACTGCCACTCCAGAACGACAGCATCGCAACGCTTCGAGCGCAGGCGGCAGCGGGCAGAGCGGCGGCACCATGCTCCCCGGCATTCGGCCAGCATCGGGGGCCTACTCGGCCTCGGGCACCAGCAGCTCCGGATACGGGAGGGGCAGCACGCCCTCGCCGAACCTGGGCTCGGGGTCCGGCTCGGGCGATCGGGGCGGCACCAGCAGCAACAGCACCGGTGCGCTCACCGCCAGCGGTAGCGGCAACAGCCTGCCTCCGCCTCCGAGGGCACCCAGGGACCGCGGACCCGTCCAGACGCTGGGCAGCCTCGCCCCGAGTGGCGCGGCGATCGGCATCGCGCAGCACGACGCCGCTCACGGAGGCCAGGGCGCTTCGTCCGGTCCAGCGGGACTGGGCGGCGGCGGCGGCGGCGGGGAGGGCCTGCCCCGTGCATCGGTCGAGACGAGCTCCAGCGGTGCGTCGGGCCACGGCGGCCTCAACCCGGCCCTCCTCGGCGTTGGTGGTGCCGCGGCTCTGGGCGGCCTCGGTGCTCTCGCCGCGGGGCATCGCGAGAGCGGCGGAAGCACCTACTCCAAGGGCTTCTACCCGTCAGGCGTGCCTCCCGGTGCTGTGGGCCCACCGGATGTCGAAGGTCGCCACGGCGCGAACCCGAGCGAGGCCAGCTGCGTCGACGGTGGCGACGAGAAGCTCGGACACCTGCGTCACGCGGACTCGGAGAGGTACAGCCGCTTCATCTCGTCCGACACTCCCCTGCTCGGACCCGGCTTTGCAGGCGACGGCGACGCGGCATCCGCACCCCACGCTCCCGGCGACACCAAGGACGGCGAGACGTCGTCGACGACGCCGACGGACCTTGTGGATGGCAGCAGCGTCTACCCCGCCGTAGGTACACTGGGCGCCGCGAGCCTCGGCTTCCAGCGCGGCCGGCTGCCGACCATCCGCAGCGTCGGCGAGTTTGGCGAGCGCAGCGGCAGCGACTCGCTGCTGCACGACGGCACGATCCGGAGCAGCGAGATACGGTCGTTCAACACGGGCAGCGGTGGCTCCAACGAGGCGTCTGGCAGCTCGGTGCGCGGTCCGCGCGGCCTGCCCATTTACGAGGAGCACCAGACCATGGGCGGCGAGGCGCTGCCCGACTACCAGACGGCGCAGGTGCAGAGCCCCGCCGTCGAGAGCGCGGCGGGCTTCCACACGCCCTTCGACTCTCCGCGCACCGCAGCCGGCGCTGCGCCCAGCCTGGTCAGCATGGACAGCCAGCGACCCAAATCACGCCTTGCCCCCGGCAGATTCAGCGTCGATGCTGGGCCCTCGACCGAGGCCGAGTCCGAGGATCCTTTTAGCGACTCGGACCTCGCCTCTGCGGGCGTTCAGCGCGGATTTAGCCTCGACCAGCCGGCCAACGAACGTGCTGGCCTCATGCGCGGTGAGGGCGGCGATGCGGGCTCGACCGCCCACGGCGCTGCGGCTGCCGGCGCCGGTGCCGGTATCCTGGGCGGCATGGCGGCGGGCTGGAGGAGGCTGACCATGGGCCAGTACGGCTGGCTGCCCGGTACCGGCGACTTCAACGACGCCCCGGCCGATCGTGGCGATCTCGAAGAGGGCCGCGGCAGCGGCGACCTCCACGGCGACGATCTCGACAACGACGACGACGGCCATCATCGCCGCCTGGGCAGCCACGGCTCTCTGGGCGCGGCCAACGAGGCCGGACCCTACTCGGACGTGAGGAGCGAGCGGGCCAGCGTCTACAACCCGTCTGCGCTGGGCCACAGCAGCCAGGGCACGCCGGGCACGCGCAACCACTCTTCGCGAGAAGGGTCGGGAGGCAGCGGCGAACGGTCGCAGCATTCGATGCTGCCGAGCCACGCCGAGGAAGGCGTCGCCGTCGGTGCAGCTGCTGCTGGCGCCGGCGCTGCTGCGGCCGGAATGGGAGCTTCCGAGTTCGGGGGCGACCGTAACCGTCGGGCTCTGGGCAATCCGAGCCTGGGCAGCCTCAGCGGGCAGAGTGGCCACTCGAGCTCGCAGTCGCGCCGAGGCGGGTACGCGGCGAGCGTGTCGAACTCGTCGGTGAGCGGCCGCCGTTCGGCGAGCGTCAGCACGGGTCTCGACAGCCTGAGCCAGGTGGCCCAGCTGAGCTCGAGCAACACGGGCAGCAGCGGCAGCCGATCCGGCTACGGCTCCTCGCGCCGCACCGGGCGGTCGGCGGCGGGCGGGCCGAGCGAGGTGAGCCTGAGCGGGGCCAGCACGGGAGCGGCGAGCTACAGCCCGAGCGGCACCAACCTCACTCGGGCCAACACGGCGAGCACGCGCGGTGCGGGCGCCGAGAGCTACGCGCCGACGAGCCTGGCGAGCTACAACCCCTCGCGGCGCAGCGGCGAGTCTGCGAGCATCCTGACGGATGCGGCCGACGCCGGGTGGGATAGCAGCGAGGCGCAGAGCAGCAGCCGCGCGACGCAGGGCGCGACGAGCAGCTCCATGGAGCGGCGCAAGCGGCCGCGCAGCAACAGCGAGGACGGGCTGCGCCGCCTCTCGAGCCTGCGCGAGTCGGCGGGCGAGTCGGATCCGTTTGGCGATCCCGCGTCGTCGTCGTCGTTGTCGTCGTCGTCGCCCTCTCGGCCTCGCGGCGGGCACTATCCGAGCCCGAGCCTCGGCGATGCCGTGATCCGATCGGCGTACCGCCAGCAACTGGCACCCGCCGTACCCG